CCCTTTTAAAGCCATTCAACTCCATGTGAAACATTGTCTGCTACGCGTCATAATAAAAACGTAAATCAAAGTGGTAAAATGTGGTGACCCACCCTGTATATATATATATATATATATATATAGATATATACCTGAGTGGATTGAAAAGTTCTTGAACCTAACGTAGAAACAATTTTTTGGATCAATCAAACTCACTTTAATTTTTTCAAAAGATACAAGTTTTTCTTTTTCTTTTATTGAAGCTCAAGACTTTTCAACCTACTCCTTGTTACACTAAAATATTCTTTTTGAAATATAACAAAATGAAAGTAAGAAAATAAAATAATTACCAGCACTGTAGGATGATTTAATAACTGTCTCAATATTTTCTTGATTCATAATACAATATAATGAACACAGATTATATTCACTTTACGCAAAGAAAACAACAATTAAAAAATCAAAATGATTAAGAATATATGTGTGCTCTACTAAATTTGAAATTCTTCCTAAGAATTAAAATTAAGTACACCGTCTATGATCTGATCGGTTAGACAAACAACTGAATAATGAGTATCGATGATCATGAATCTTCGATAACAAATTTTCCAAATGAACGAACAAACAAGAAGTGGGAGACTATAATAAATGAAAATAAATGATTACGATAAGCGAACTTAGCGTGGATCGCCAAAGGTCATACATGCGACGATAAGAAAGAAAAAAGGAGAGAGGATAAAAAAGAAGAAATAAAAAATAACGAAGAAGAAAGAACGATGAAGTATTGCATATTTTAACACCAGTGCTTATTTTCGTATGCTAATTAAAATACACACGAGTAAGATAAAAAATATTCTCTTAAGATAAATGAAGAAATTAATATACATACAAATAATTATTAATAAATAATTTATTTACAACAGTACATTTGAAACAAATAAATATGTGAGTGGGTTGAAATTTTTTAAGCTTAAATAAAAAATATTGTTTCTATATCAGGCTCACAATTTTTCAGCCTACCCAAGTATGTACATAAATATATATATATATATTTAAACATACTCTTTTTATTACACAATCTCAGTTCTTGCAAGTAAACAAACGCGATTACAGACCTCCCGCAGAATCCTATTTCATTTGATTTTATTTTGATTGTAATATTCGTAAAGTATCGAATAAGAAGCTCCGTGTAATTTGTGTCAAGTTATCATTTAAAAAATAATCTTATTATTATTCTTTACCAGGCAGAAAACAATGACGATAATGCAATCATCGTACGATCGTACTACGTCTCATCGTGCGTTTGGTAAATAAAGATAAAAAAAAAAAATACGTGGAACTATATGACTATAACAAAGGATGGAAGGAAAAATGATAAGGAATGTTTAATAAAATTTGTAAAACTAAAAAGAAAAAAAACGATGATGAAGGAAAATGCAAAAGGAAATAATCGAGGGCAATAATATAATAAACTGGTTGGATAATAATGGTGGAAATTTATAAATTCGTTTTATCTTGGAGAACCCAGTAAGATCTTATAGTTCTTTCGACGAGTGTTGTACGCTTTTCCAGAAATATCTTTGATCTGTTTTTCCTTCTTGATTCCAAAAGAGAGCGAGAGAGAGAGAGAGAGAGAGAGAGAGAAAGATGATAAAGATAGAAAGAATACGAGTTATGAATGGAAGTACACCGGATATCGTAAAATATCGAATTGTACATAAATGAAATAATTTTATTTATTAAAAAAAGAAATATTTTTATTAAACATTCGTTATCGACCACCAATCGAGTTTCACGATACGACTTGACCATGACCTTGGTTCTTTGTTTTATTGTAGAGTTTTTTCCGTATTGCACTCGTGTGTGCGTATGTGCATTTAAAATCAAAGAAACACAGTGACGCGCACGCGTGCATGCACGAATGGATGATATACAAAGGAAGGTGCAATGCAGCAAATTTGGATCATGTTGCGACATACTTTCCTTATTCTTTCACAATATGTTCTCCTTAGATTATTATCGACGATACGAAAAGATAAAGTATCTATAAAATTGAACGAAACTCGTGTTTATATGTACTCAATCCTATTGTAACGAAATAATATTTTTATTAACACGTCGTATCTCATTTGTGTGTGAGAAAGAGAGAGGGAAAGAGAATATGAGAGAAAAATAAGAAGAAAAATGTGTCATGTTTTTGACACGTCATTAGATACGATTAGATGACATTTGCTAATAAAATTCTTTACTAACCTTTGACTGGCTTGCCGGTACCATTTCTTATGACCCGAGGGGTCATTATCATTTTGCGGTGTCGATGGGAATATGTTTCCATGATCACCATGCGAATTACAGTTCTCCAGTTCCATGATCAACTGTAAAAGTGTTAAGAACCAAAAATAGAATCAACGTGTGCGTTGACTAATTTTACCTTTTCCCGATTTGGATATTTATTTTTTTTGTATCAATGCGATAAGTTGTATCGATAAGGAAAATTATTATTATTATGCATTTTGAAATTAATTGTGTTGTCGATATTATTTAAAAGAATTATTTTATGCGCGAGTATTGATTGTATAAAAATAAAAATTATTCTACAATAAGAACCGGAAGAGTGAGGTTAACCAAACTCTTATAAATGCTGCAAGATTTCGCAATGCACATACATCAATCAACGCATTGTTATTCTTCTTTTGTTTTTAATTATCTTTTTATCAAAATAAATATAATTATTATTTTATAATAATTCTTATTTTTAATAGTTGTAAAGAATAAGGAACTTGATATTTGCATAGATAAAACCGATTAGAAGATCAGTATAACTGGACATCTTTATCGGATGCAGAGACAAAGTAATAGAATTCAATCGATTATTAAAAACCTGGCACACATTTCTCTTTCTGATTAAATTGTATATAAAAACACTATTATTTTTCTTTTTCATAGTATTTTAATATCATTAATACACGATATTCAATCTTAAATAAACATTTATTATATATATATAATGTCTACGTGTTTAAAGAAATGTGTATGAATCATATGTTACAATGATACGAAAAAAAAAAGAATTTTGAATTGAAATTTGTCGATAAATAATTAATTAAAAAAAAAAATAAAAAAGAAAAGTAAATGATATAATTCATTAGATGAAAAAGAAAATTAAAAAGTGTATATACGATTATCTTTAATCATTGTGTCTGTTTCGCATAAAGCGTGAAAATAGTGAACAGCCATTCCTTAGTCGGAATAAATAGAATGTAAATTCGTACCTAGTGATATTGTTGGTTGGATGCAGTTTGATTTGAGATTAAAACACAATACGATTTAAAAAGTTCTTTTTGAAAACTTCGAAATAGAATTTATCGGGCGCCAACCTGTCATCGATAGTTATGTATATCGAGAAAACAACTGACGACCACGCACTGTGCAGATTTGCCGCAGACTGAGGTCAATTCACTGAACTGTGTTGACCTCGACGCAGGTATGCCAATCGAATAGTTTCAAATGTTACTAAGCCTAATTCGTACTCTCTGAATTTGAAGTGCGCGCCAAATCTTATCATCCTTTTTTCAAGCAATAAAATTGAATGGGAGACGCATCTTTCGTAGCACAAATCAAATTCGTTTAGACGATTAAACAATAAATTCTTACGTTTATTTATTGGCCAATAAAAATACAAGAGTATAGCCTGGATAATTGTTTATTTAATTTAAATCAAAATTAATAAATTCGTACGAATGATTTAAATAAACAACCAATCAGTGTTTCAACGATATAATCGATTAATTGAGTCGATTCGTCAATCTTTTTAAAAAATGCATTATCCTCATATATTTAATAAAAATATATATTTATATTATAGAAGTCGATCGATAAAGATTACCATAACGAGCTTTAAGCATGAAATTAAAATGACCAACACAGTGTACTAGTTGTGTATAATACATACATCATCTGCCTGCGTGATAAAAAGACAGAATTTCATATTTACGCGCGCAATTTGTTTCGGCATATGCGCGCTATTTTTCTTCTATCTTATCATCGATCTCATAATAGAATTCACAAAATAGAAACGAGTAATAGATGATGACGGAGATACAACAGAGGTCGAATTAATTATACTAATCTAAAGAAGTAATACAACGCGTTTGAACATTGGGGAAAAATAAAAAAAAAGGGGAAAGGAAAACAAATATAACAGAGTAAGGTAGGAATGAATATAAAACGTACTTGAGATGGTTAACTCGATCGATGAAGATCGAACTTGACTCGCATTTCTCATTCTTCGATTCGATGAACGAAATGAAAAAATTGTAAAATAATAATGGTAGAGCGATATTTATGTTAATGATGAATAAAATAATGAAAGCACCTGCCGGATGGTCGATTCACGTATATCACGCGGATCACTTTGACCCGCCTTGGCGACGGACGACGAATTCGTCCGTAGCGCCCTGTGTAAACCGTCCGTCCGCCGTTGCCCGAACGACAAAATCCGAGGTAAAAGCCCGTACTTCGCTATTTTCGCGAACTTCAACACGTCCACAGTACTCATCGTGTTGAGCACGATTGGAACGTAGACCTCGTCTATCCCGTGCACGAGCAATTACGTTGCATCCTTTCGTTGTTGCGTAAAATTAATCCGATTTAGGTGACCTCGACGTAACATAACCTACAAATCTGTCTTGAACTATTGCCTCTGGTTCTCCTTCTTCTGACAATTCTTTCGTGCTTTTACATAGACCAATTCTATCGATATTTCTATTTCCTTAATCTCATCGATATTTTTTCTTTCGATAACTTATCTCTCTGTCATATGATTTATTATTATCGAGATATGTTTTCTATCGAAAGTGAAAACCTAATGTGTAATAACTCGTATTCTTTTAGGCTCACGGCCCAACCCACTTTTTAATCGGTGATTTGTTCTATGTTAAATTTTTAACTCTTTCAACATATTTTGATAAATGCATTTAATGAACATTTTTTATGATAGTTTGATCATTACAATTTTTAACTTCTTATGATTTATTTATTTTTCTAATCTATTATTTTTTTTATTTTCATCACGATTTGGTACTTCATCCTAGAGGAACCTAATTAGCGTGGTGACATAACATAACCTTCCTCTACATGTGAAATAAAAGTGTGTGTATATTTCTGTGTGTTTGTATGAGAGAGAGGGAGAGCATTATTTAAAAAATACTTTTTTTTATTTACTCTTGCACATCAAAATGACATTATGATTTTGTAATATATTCACGTGTGAGTGTGAGTGTGTTATCTCATATTTTATCGTATGTTTTCATAAAAACCTTGTATTACACACTTATCATTATTATTACTGACATATGATACGCTCCATTTTATTCATCATACTTTTTATCACATAATTACTATCATTTTCATTTATGTTTACATAAGTATTCAGTTTTGTACTATGCAAATATTCACTTTGTTAAGTTGATTTGTTACTTCTATTTTGTTACCAATTTTTGAATAAATTTCTTTTTAACGCATCACATATTTGTATTTTTTTTACATTAATCATCTTTTTTATTTACTTATATAGAATATAAGATATCTCGTTTATATATTTTTATATTTTTTTATATTAGGAATATGTTTTTTAGCATAACTCTAAGATCTAACATTACGCTACAGTAATGGAAACCATATTATGATTAATGTTAAATACACGATTGATGTTATAAGATAATAGTTATAAGTAAAATATTATTCTTTATAATATATCATTAATAATTCATTACAATTTCTTTTAATAATTATCAAGCAATGGTGTACTAAGACATCGATCAACATAATATTTGCAAAGTAAGAATATTAAGCCGGTCTGAAAAATGAATAATCAAGCATTCAGTTTGGCAGAAAAGCTTATACCTTCTACATATGTGCAACAAGGTTTAAATGCAAAGAAAATTCGCGAAAACCATATAAGACATTTTATTGAACATGTATGTATTATTTACAGATGTATTCAATATTAAATCTAATTGTATATTTCTATTAGTAAATAAAAATATATATCATATATTTTTATCAAACGTAGAGACAATGGCCAGAAGAGGGATGGGACGACGCAACAATAGAAGCTTTTCTTTTCGATCTATCCCAAATGGATAGCAACAATTTTCCATCTAACTGTAGCGTTGGAGAACGTGAAGCAAGAATTGTATCGAATATTGTAGCAAGGAGACATTTTCGCATGGGACACGGTATTGGTAGATCAGGTGATTTAGAAGAAGTACAACCGAAAGCTGCTGGTAGTAGTCTCATGTATAAATTAACAAATGCTCTGGTATTAGAAGTATTGCGCTATATGGGTAAGGAAAAGGAATCGAATATGTTGAAATGTGAATTAAACATTTACATATATATTTATGTATACTCGCAGGTGTAAAAAGTATAGCTGGTTGTTTCTTATCTCCTATGGCTACAGGCATGAGCTTAGTATTATGTATGCTGACTCTCAAACAAGATAGACCACGAGCAAAATATGTTTTATGGCCTCGAATTGATCAAAAATCAAGTTTCAAATCTATAATTACAGCAGGTTTAGAACCTATAGTCATTGAAATGCAAATAGTTGGTGATGAATTAAGAACAGATATGCAAATGCTCGAATCTCAAATGGTAGCTCTTGGAGAAAGTGTACTTTGTGTATTAACAACGACAAGTTGCTTTGCACCTAGAGCGTGCGACTCGGTTGATTCAATTGCAATTTTGTGTACGCAATATAATATACCTCATTTAGTGAATAATGCTTATGGGTAAGAATTTAGTGAATGTTCTTTTAACAATTTTTAAATATTATTGATACTGGTAAAAATGAGGTATATTTGACTATATTGTTAAAAGGTTGCAGAGTTCAAGATGTATGCGTCTCATACAAGAGGCATCACGTAAGGGCCGCGTTGATGCATTTGTTCAAAGCACCGATAAAAATTTTCTTGTACCCGTGGGTGGTGCAATAATTGGATCATTTGATAAAAATATTTTGAGTCGTATATCAAAAATGTATCCAGGTCGTGCAAGTGCAAGTTCTACTATGGATGTCATGATAACATTATTAAGCCTTGGCATAGCAGGTTACAAGCAACTTATTACTGAACGTAAAGAAATGTATGCCTATCTTAAAGAGGAACTTGGAAAAATAGCAACGAAGCATGGAGAACGTCTATTAGATACGAAAGGAAATCCTATATCAATGGGAATGACATTACAGTGTTTAAGTCATCAACATGATAATAAGCAAGTTACAACCCTAGGCTCGATGTTATTCCTTCGTAATGTTAGTGGTACTAGAGTAATCACTACGACGGACTCTAAGCACATAATTTCGCACAAGTTTGAAGGTTGTTATAATTATTATTACCTTTTTTATTTGAGTTTGAACACCTTTTCTTATTATAAAATTGTATTTTTAGGATGGGGGGCTCATAACAGTAATTACCCAGTACCATACCTAACTGTTGCTGCCGCTTTAGGTATGAAAAAATCAGACGTTGAAGCATTTATACAGAGACTAGATAAAGCATTAACAAAAGTACGAAGACGTTCTGCTTCTGTAACTCCAACAGCATCACTTGCCGGATCTAGTATTAATGGAGATGCTGGTGGTGCTGGTGGACCAGGTGAATCTAGCACAGCTTCAACTAGCCGTGCAAGTAGTAAAGATAGTTTGCGAAAATGAACCGTAATCAACGCAACTGGCCAGTCAAATCAGCACATTAATATTAACTTGTAAGTAAGTTATTACTTGCGATTAATATATTTTTCATATCTCTGCATAATTACTTGTATCTAAACAAGAATCTTAAATTTGATTGTAAAGGTGAAATATTTTTTTACATAATATTATTTAAAATATACACATATAAACAGAGATTATTTTTTTCACGCTGTAACATTTGTTTTTACATATCAACTAATCATTTTTATTTCTTTACAAAAGAATTATCTGGAATAATAAAATTGTACTCTTCTATTTTTATATATTATAATAAAAAATGTCACATGTTTTTAAAGCAAATTAATAAGATACAGTACATATTGCAGAGACATGAAATAAAATAATGAGCTGACTTGTCTGTCCACTTGCGTTGTGATATTGTCAATTCCTATCTTAAGAGACAAGGCAATTGGATGTTGAGTAAATGATATTAAATGAATATCAAAAGTTAATGAAAAGAAATCAAGAAATAATAAAATAACGTTGTCTTAGTTATCTGTTACAAGACATTCAATTATAATGTGCGCTGGTCGCAAATATCATTATGAATTGTTTATAAATTTATATTTTTTATGAAACAAAAATATAAACATTGTTCTGGTACATTTTAATTCTAACTTTATCACGTTGTAAAATATAATATTAAATTTTACACTATATGTTATAATACAAGGAGACAATTAATTCTCGTTAAATATTGTTTGAATAATTTAAAGAATAATTCTATATTTTAAAGAGAATTTGCATTAATATAAACATTTCATATTTTTATTTTCTGAGAGAAAAATTGTATGTCAAAGGAAATAGTGAGATTATATGTTATTGATTGTAAAAAGAAACTTTAATGATAATGTAATTGTCTGATTGTAACAATACAGTAATAATACAAGTTTAAAGCATGATACATGAAAGTTGAGCACATGCTATAAACAGTCAAAGAAAAATCATAAATAATTTTTATGAATATCAGTGATATAAGTGGCAGCACATATTTCTTTTTTAAAAAGTTCGAATAATTATCAATGTAATACTTCAAATATTTATTTCAGGATTCAGTAAAAATGTAATCTTATTGTTTCATGAATCATGCAGTACTTTTTAATATGTCTCTTTAAAATCTAAATTATTATTAATATAACAGTATTATTGACAATTTTAATTTTCCTCAAATGGATATATATTCTATTAGAAAATCGATTACATTGTGGTTTAATTCGATATGAATTATGCTTTGTTAAATAAGGTAGTAAAAGTATAATAATTAATGTATATTATAAAACTGCAAGTACCACATGTTCCCATCTAACATCAGCTAAGAAAAGTAGAAAAAGAATTATTAATGGTATAAATATATTGCAAATTAAAATTAAATAATTCATAATACCATAAAACTGAACACAATCAATCATTTTTTCGATATATATACACATATATATATATAAATATATATATGTATAAGAAATATAAATATATATATATATACAAATGTGCAAAGTAATTTCACAGTAAACTACAAGTACGACAGCTTGATATTAAAATCATATAATATTAAGTAGTAATAATTTGAGGAAGCATACATTTCAAATATTCAGTCGAGCCTAATAATAACATCAATAAAGAATTAATGCTATGAAAATAGAAACTAATATATTTCTTCCAATTTCTTTTTAATTTAAAAAAAAATTTTTTTTTCTTTTAGATCTTTTAAGTAGAAAATTGCATTTATAATTATATGAATTATTAATTAGAAAAATAATATTCTTACCGTAGAATAATGAGAATACGTTTAGCACAAAAACAATATGCATTAGCAATTACACTAGCCAATATTTAACCGAATGTATCTTTACAACTATTAATTTTTTACAACATTCACATGAACATACTTGTAGTTATTTTTTTTTTTTACTTCAAAGGAACCAACATTACATTAACACATGGTAATATTCAATCAAAGTCATTAACGATTACAAAATTTGCTATTTATTTATATCGCATTACTTAATACTGTTAATATTACTATCCGAATTTATAAAATTATATTCATTATTGATACCGATTCTGTCTACAATAAATAAAATGAAACATTTTCTACGCATACTGCTTGTTTATAGATTATACAGTAGTTTCTCATTGACCGAAATAAAGAAAAATGTTAATTGTTTTATCAATTTGTTATTAAAATAAGTTGGACACAAGGGAAACACACTTTAAAGTATATTTCATTATATGCTTTGCTTTTAATCTCCTTTTATAAATATTTATTTGATTATTTAGATTTAATGTAGTTTTTGAGAAAATAATTAAGAATTGTTATTATAAGCAAATCATATGTACTACGTAAGATATGTATATATGTGTATACATAAAACATATATATATATATATATATATATACACATGTATACATATAGATATATTAATGTTAAAGTAATATATTTACTATTGCAACTGATACTTAATGATTATAAAAAAAGTATACTAGTATAAATGGTATTATCATACCAATGACTTTCCTATGTAAATAAAATATAATTTTTTGGTTCTTATTTCTTTCTGATTATAAAGTCATTAATTGTTAAAAAAAGGCACCTAATACATATATATATATATATTTATGCATATATAGTGAATTATATGCCTTTTACACAAACAACGATTTTATGGACCTAATATTCTACTACACTTAAGTTTTCTATGTCTAAAAAAGTTACATTTGTTATATCATTGTTAATTATAATGCGTCATTATATTGTTGTTCAGCATAAAAAACATATGTAAGTTATATTGTATGATCTTCAACTTATTACAATGAATGCATACATTCGAAGAATTGTTTATCATTATTCAAAATGTTATAATAAAACTATTATTGGCAGACTGATTTTAATGCATTATATTAATGTAACAGGAAAATAATTACATTAGAATGCAAAAAATACTAAAATTGTTGGATGAATGAATGTTTGTCGAACTCGTATCTCCCGCGCTTGCGATCGCCAATAAGAAAGGGGGAGTTATTGGTACGATTGCGTGCGAGTGAGGCGCGACTGTATCTGAAGACGGCGGAAGCTGTGTTGTACGATTCAGTTCCGTTCTGCGAGTTGTTCGAGAAAAAAGTATGTTTTATTTTTTGTTATTTATTTAGGTATGTTATTTTGTTTGTTATTTAGTTTAGTTTGTTATTAAAGTTTATTAGCTTATTATTCATCGAAATAAATTTACGTGATATTTTATTCTCGAGTTCGAGAAATACCTTTCCTCTCATCCTGACAAAACCAACAAAAATTATAACGTTAAAATGTTAAATACTCTTTATTCGGAATATTATTACCGTTGTACACATGCGCAATGTTCGGAAAGTCATATAAACAATATTTAATATAAGAATTTTGATAGAAGACAACTTGCCAGTCTGAAGGTGAATTCCGAGAAAGAAGGTCTACCGATCATATACTTGGTGTTTTTAACGAACAATACACATTCTTTTCGATTAATTAACAATTATTTTAATATTCTAATACATTCTAATTACATTTCAGATTGTTTCAACGTATATACATTTTTTTAAACATTCCATACCGTTCTGATTACTATAAAATAAATAATTAGATTAATAAATAATAAATTAATACATTTTATTAATAATTATTAAAATTTAATGAATAGTTAATGCAATTTGGCTATCTTTATTAAATGAATACTTTTTAAAATATATGTATAAATGCATTTTTGTATTGTATCACAGATATAGTATTCTTTGATAGTATTGTACCATTTCGTGATAAGTACCTACTATCGACATCTAGTAGTCACGGTAGAAACTATGATGAATCTTGTTACGAAAAAAGTGAACTTGTGAGCTTCTATGTACTTCTGTATTTTTTGCTCTAGGTAAGATTAAATATTTTATATTTTCAATTATTTAAACAATTTAAAATCAATTTAGAGTGTAATTATATTATATTTAAACAATAGTATATTTGTTTAAATAATTTATTGCTCGTAGGATACATTTATCGTGAAATAATTTAAATTTGATATTTTAATAAAAGTTAACCTTTTCAGTTAATGATTGATCGACTAATCATTAAATGTTTTTCTTTCTTTAACATTTTATTTATTTTTATATAATTTTAATAGGAAAAATGACAGAAACAAGAAAAAGTTTATTAGATGTGGTGGAAGAAAATTTAAAGACTGTTAATTATGTAAATATGTGATTATATTTCATTGTTTTATTTTTATCTTTTTACTCTTGTAAAAACAAAATTTGATAACAGAGCATTGTATAATTTTCAGAGTACATATATAACAAGATTTTTATATTTTGGAGAATATTTTCACAGTAGTTCGGATGAATTACAAGAGGTTGATTTTAAAAATTACATTTAATTCATTTTAATAGTAAATGAAGTTTTGATACAATTATACATTGTATTCTATAGATAATGGGGAAGATTATACATGCACTGAACGGAAATTCAAATGAAAATCTCATAACCGGTTTGTTGCTTATTTATCCAAGATTTTATATGCATCTGTTAGAGGTATGTTTTGACGTATTGTACAAAGAAAATAATAACAATAATAATAATAATAATAATGTTAATCGCGTTATAAGTTTAATGTGTTAAAATTATTCTACGAAAATTTGAGAAAGGAGAAATGAGATTAAATTAGATTGGATCAAGCGAGATGAGATGAGATAATAAGAAAGGAGAGGGAGAGAGAGAGAGAGAGAGACAGAGAGAGAGAAGAAGATAACAAAAGACAAGCACTGATGTAACTTAATTTTATAAATTTGGATAGGCGCCCGAAGACATCATTTACATGCATTTCAAGGATATTTATGAGAATAAGAACAAAGATGGAAAATTTGGAAAAGCTATTGTTTTACTTGTGTATCACCACGTTTATCACGTGAGTCTTGAACGTAAAATAAACATCAAAGGAAACATTTTGATTTTTAACGTAATTAACATTTGTAAAAAAAATAAGAAAAAAACATACATTAATTTATATTCGTAGAGATTTTTTATTGATTGGTATCACGTTTACACGCTAGCACCTAGTTTATTGGAAAAAATAGAGAATCAAACGTTAGATGAAATTAAAAAACAAATTTCTAATTGCTGTATCAAATTTTATCATTTGTGCGAATACATGTCAGGAATAATGCACGAAAATGTGAATAAAAATTGACATATATTTATTGTAAAGAAAAAGGAAGAAAGAGAAAAAAAATGAAGAACTTTCTTCTTCTTGAATAGGCGCATGAGATTGCTGGATCTTTATTTCATTTAAATGAAGAAATACCTGAATATCTTCCGGAGATGACCGTATTGGAATATTTCTTAAATTTAAAATCAAACATATTGACCACTGTTGAGGATTATATGCGAATTTACAGAGACGTACCGTTTATAGAATTTTACGGAGGTAAACTGTATTTCCATTTATTTTCTATCATTTATTTCGCTTTAACGATGATACTCGCTAATTGGATTACAGAGGGATTTGATTAAAAATTTCGTTATTGAATAAAAACGATTATTTATTAGAGAATATTTACAATATCAAAAAAACGATTTTTTTTCTTCTTTTTTTTTTATGAGGATACACAAAGTAGGTATTGGATGATACTAAACTAAGTATACATATACATATACAAATTTCAGTGTTTTTTTTTCCTGGCAGAAAGCAACCACCGGTCAAGCAGTACGGTTCGACGATATTCTTATTCTAACGAATCTCGTTATTTTTTTTGATACGAAATGAAATCGTGGATCGTATAGTAATAGTGTGACAAATATGATCGTGCTCTTTTAGTGCTTATGATCTCGGCACTACCTTTTTTCGAACTTGGTCGTTCGTGATAGAAAAAAAGCACTTAGACTCGCGTCTCAACACGTTTTCTATCTATAACGTATGTTAGTTAATGATTGGATTAAATTATGTTATTATCTTCCCTTGATTTCTTCTTCTTCTTCTTCTTCTTCTTCTCTTTTTTTTTTTCAATACTTGGTTATCAGGAAAAATGTGAGAGAATAAGTATTTTCTGTATTATATTTTTTTTCCTTTCTCCATGTTGAAGATAAAAGATTGGATTGCATTTTACGAACGGATACACGATACCTCGATAAATTGTTCGCTATGTTGCTAACAGCGTATATATATATATATATATATGTATATAAGTACGTGTATACTCTTTATACCGTTGAAAATGTAAAATATTTTCCTACGGAGTGTGAACATTTTCCAAGGTATTGTATTTCCAGAAAGTAACAATAGTATGTCAACGATACCATGCAACATACCACGGCTTCCATTCGAAATGAAACTTTCATAAGTAAATACATATGGCATATACTTGTGCGTTACAATGTCTCTTTCAGAAATGCTTACGCAACTTACAAAGTTCAAACTTACGCAACTGATGTAATTATCATTTTACCTTGACGTATTAGTAGTAGAGGATCTAATGAACGAAACTCACACGGATAATAGTACCTTACGTTTTCACTTTGAAACTACGCGTTGCGCTCACCTTTAAGTAATTTCATTGTGTTACGTTAGACCACAATTTCCAAGCGGTATATCCTAACTTAGTTGTACATTCGGAACTTTAGCTTCGTCGCTGATGTACCCTATAGAGACATGGATACGCGTTAGTATATACGTATGTATATATGCGTGTGTAACTGTACTATGTGTATTTATTATGCATGTATATATGTATGTATCTGTATTGGAATTAATACTCGACTGAATTCTATATACGCAAAAAGACTTCTTTTGCAATTCTGATAAGTACTAGTTTGCATCTTTTGTAGATATGCATCAAATGCCAAGAGTCTTGAAGAAATGTCATTTTATCAAAATTGATACGATCAATTTACAGATACAATTTGGCCACCTCCTTCGTATAATTTACCACGTTATGACGCGTTGGAGAAGTGCGTCGATCGATTGACTGACGAAGATGATCTAACAAGGAAGAAAATATAAACTTTATTGATAATTTTAAGATTAAAACGAAAATTATTTCATTTGACGAGATCATCGAACATTTGTTTTATTTCTCTTGTTTATACTGATTTTTATTACGACAAAAATCGTAATTAGAATTTTTGTTCTAATCTTATCAGATGTGTGTGTGCGTGTGTGTTTGTTTGTTTGTGTGTGTAAACAACATTCATGAATTAAAAATAAAATTTGTATTTTTTGTAATCATCGTATAGTGAACGTCATTAATCTCGAACATGCAGACGAACAAAATTCGTCCATATTTGTTCTTTTTTTTTTTTTTTATAATTGGTGCGTATCTCTGTTTCTTTTTCTCTAATAATTTCATGTAAAATTTTTCTTACAAGGATAAATTACGCATTTTCCAATTTAGCAATCACTAACGTACATATGTTAATAGTACATAGGATTATGTACCAACATCAATTCCATCAATGGCAATAATAATTAACAATTCTTTTAGTAAACATTATAGTCAGATTTCTCAGAGATATAACTTAATGTCTAGCGATCGAAAGAACACATTCATGTAGAAGTTTAGAGAAACGTTCAGCTTCGACATTATTTTTATTATTGAACGACACGCGAAAACATCACTTTCTCTCTCTCATGTTCTATTTTCTTAAAAGACCAAATAACTTTTCCTTAAGTAGATACTCCAATCTCTTTCTCATGTTTTTATTTCTTTTCTTGTATGTTTTTCTTCTTTAGAAATGTTTGAAGTATCCCCCCCCCTTCCCCCATCACAAGTATTAATGTATGTTTCTCGGGGTTTTAATCGTAAAAGTGGACATTTACAACATGAAGCAAAATATCGTCCACTTTCGATCAACAACAACCGACGATGCGCTCATTTCTTTACCTTGAATCTTTTGAAATCGTGAAAATTGTTGTAATTTATTAATCTCTTCTTTTTCTACAATTAGAACATTGGCGCCATGGGGCATCGTAATTGTATCACCGTTGGCGCCGATAACAAAAATCGATAATCGACAAAAGCTATACACTCGCGCACAGTTTTGCTCTTTTTTTTCTTTTTTTTTCTTTTTATACAAATTTGCAATCTACAGGAAGGAACCACGGCTGAAACACGGTTGTATTGTAATAAAACGCGATTTTATTAAACGCGCTAGTGCCCCCCCTTTATTTTTTCCTTTGCTTTTTTTTTGTTTCTTAAACACAGGAAAGTTATTCGCAAGGGTTTATATGGGCATTTATTCTTATAACGATTAACGATACGTTCAGGTATAGTACAAGGGAGAGGCAACGGGAAATGACCTCCGATGATACATTAGATTTCCAACAAGATTTTCTTAAGCTTCGAAACAGGCAGTAATTTGTAGGACTATCGCAATTACGTACCATGAGTGAGACAGACTTAACTTAAGACTTAAAGGGTTATACCAACTTGCTGTTTTAAGGGTAAACTAACATGAAAAAAAATTTTTTTTTTTTTAATATTACAATTAAACGTAATATGTAATCAATAAATAAAATATCTTTAAATAGTGTTTTTTTTTCAGAGCTGATAGAAATTATATTTCAAAAACTGTTCAACCGATTTTTAATGAAATTTACTGTATATCTTCTTTATACTATTATCTAAAAAATAGAATCAACTTTTCTTTTTATGTTAGTTTTTCTTAAATCACCAAAGTGGTGTAACACCTTTAAGTAAATCGGCATTCATCTAAGAGTTTTAAAGATAAAGATTCATTCTTCTTTTTATTATAATTATTTTTTCTTATTTTTTTTTTCCTCACTTTAAAAACAACGTTCATATTTGCGTCGTTAGTACGATTAATCGCAAAAAGGGAAAGAAATGTTATTTTCTTCTTTTTTTTTTTCGAGACATTATTATACAGTTAGTTAACGTTACAATAAAATCCAGAATATTGTAGACCGAAAGAAACCAGGGGATTTGCATTTTCAACTTTTGCACGGTTTGTTCTCTTTTTCTTTTTTTCTGTTTTATTTTTTTGCTTTCTTTCTTTCTTTCTTTCTTTCTTGTACGAACGTGTTACTCACTTAGACATGCTCTTCAAACGTTTTGTTCGGTTTTCGTGGTGAAAAAACCAAACGATATGTTTCTATCGCGTTTTCTCGCATTTTATCCCCTTTCCTCCCAACCCAGTCTACGTCTGTAACTTTGACCATTTTCACCACGTTTCTTCTTAACGAATTTTTTTCACAACATCGCATTTAACAACGAGTGACCCTTTTTCTTCTTTTTTTTTTTTTTTTTTAAGTATAAGTTATTCTGGTTGCACGATTGATTTTTTTTTCTTTAATTGCGTCTACGTATATCATTTTATTTACTTACATCGACTAGACGAATTGTACAGTGGTACCGTAATAAAAGTTGGATAAACTTTATGTCTATTGATTTGTATAAAATATCTTCCATGTTTTTTTTTTTTAAAGGTATGTACATATTACGTAAATTTACGCGACGCTCCTGTGTACGTGTTCATTCATTTTTGTGTCATTAATTTATTCCAGTGTAATTATTTTTTTCTTATTTTTTTTTCTTTATGGGGCACGTGCGTGTGTCTGTATATATATACACTTTTCTCATCGAACTGTACATATGTATATTTATATATGTACACACACACGCAGGCACATACTACACACACACACACACACACATAATACATACGTATTATATGTGTAGAATACATTCATACTAAATTTCACACGTGTTCTTTCATTTTTCCCCTCTTTTCTTTCTCTCTCTCAAGTCACGTACATACATCTATCGACGCAGTTATCAGTTTCAAAGTCTTCCTTTAATATAAAAAGGGCACTTGATTCAAACATAGGTTATTAAAATGGTGATTTCATTTAAGGGGTGGGCGAGGGTAGAAAATGAATTTGTTCAAATTAAAAGAGGTGTTCGTATTTTGAACTCATACGACATGCGTCACATCATACACTTTCTTTCTTTCTCATTCATTCACACACACACACACACACAACACACTCATTCATTCTTTCGTATTTCTCTCGCAAGCGATAAGATAATTAACAATAAATTTCTTCTTTTCTTTTCTAATATATGTCGGTGTGTTAGTAGTTTTCTAACAGTGTGCATTAATTGCAACGTCACACCGAACTTTCTCTCTTGGCCATCACAATGGGCGTAGTGACGGTCGTTTCTTTTTGCGATTGGACGCAACACTGTGCAGGAGCTCTCGTTTCGATGTCCTTAGATAAGAGTGTGCATGTACTTGGACAGGTTCTACCAACTACCCCTAAACCTGAGTAGAGCATAGGTGGACTCATCGTCATCGATTGGACGTTCTGAGTCGGCCAATGTTGTCTCGGTAAAGTGCATACCCCATCGTCGTACACGCTTCCGATAATTGGCTGGAACTGAAGAACAATTTTACTTTTTATTATATATTTTAGTTTTATTTTCTTTATGGGGTAAGGACGACAATAATAATAATATAAAAAAAAATGTTGCTTACGCTTTTATGCTTGATAGATAAATTTGAAAATTCGTGCAATGGCATCCCATTACGAATGGTGCAGTAACCAACGTAACTGCCATGGGTTGTTAACGAAGTTATGGTCGAATGTTCCAAGAGACTTCTTGATGGGGAAGTTTCGATCGTCGATACCAATCGTCTTTTTCTTAAATATTCCGAGGGCTCGTCCCCTGATTAACAAAAATCCCGTCACAAATCTCGTTCAATCGTGTCATGCAACGAACATTGCATTTATACGAACCGGTTATTTGTTGCGGTATGATGTCCGGATTTTTCTCGTCGCTTTCGCTTAAATCACCACTGGTATCCAATTTTCTGAACGGACTACCTGGATGTTTTTCATCGGCAAGTAGACTACTTCCTTCGCGGAACCTCAATTCGCGTTGTATCGGCGCAGGTTTAGTTTGTTTTCCGTGTTCTTCCATTTGCGATTTACCACGTTCCTCAACATTCGTATGTTGGATCCTCAAAACTATCATAACTATTACCGCGACGATTACCAATGCCGTTACAACGCCTATCATGACGCTCAGCATCGGGGTCAATCTCACATTTTGACGTGGCCTTTCTGAAAAATCCCAACAACGATTGATTTCGCGGTAATATTTCATTAACTTTTTTCATATTCGAGATACCCAAAAAAAAAAAAGGGAGAAACAATGTAACTGTTAATTTCGCAGTTATACCTTCGCAAATGTATATATTATAACAATGCTTGTTTTCCAGTGTTTCTCGTAATTGATTCGCTAGCGTATAGAGGGTTGGGACGAGCGGAAGGTGGTGGGTGGGGTGTTGAAAGAAAGAAAAAAAGAAAAAAAATATAAAACAGAGCGTGCATTTACCTGACTCGGATGTTAATTGTTTTTCAGGTAGCCTCAACGTTCCTGCTTGCACGACCATCGCTTCGCTGCGCCCTTTCTCGTTGTACGCGTAAATGCACGCCTGATAAAGAGCACCGGACTCGAGTTGAGCGACGCTGAAATGCGGCACCGTGGATGTTAAATTTGCACGCAATTCCTGGCTGTTGCTCTCCCTCACCTCGAGAAGAAAGGATTGCGGTAAGCCACCGTTGAAACCCTCGGTGCATCGCACCGAAAACGAGTTGGTCGATGTGTTAGAGGTAGTACAATTGTGTACCATATCCGGACGACCTGTCGGTGATAAAGAAACAGAGAAAGAGATTTAAATATATAGTTTACGCTAAATTATGTTTACTCTTAATGTGCTAGAAATTCCTTCGAATAGTTTGATTCCTATTTTTTTTTACCTGTGTGGATAAAAGAAGTGTTAAATAAAACACGTTCGACGATTATTTAGGAAGGTGCAGAGAGCAATATCTTAGGTGGCTTAACGAGCCTGACAAAAGGAATGCAAATGCCCATTGTTCCTTTGGGTGCATACCTCTTTCGCGCTATTTTTCCAAGCTTACCTTTCGAAAATATAGCCGTGCTAAGGGAGAAGGGGGACGGGGACGGAGGAAAGGTAGGATGTGTCGCGTGGCCGAGAAAAGGAAAATATTTCTCTTTTCTTGTCTTTTTTCCCTTGTTTTTCTTTCTTTCTTTTTTTTTTTTTTTTGCGAAAGAATATCCTCTCGACGCGGTACGGTGCGGTGCGGTGCGGTGCGGTGCGGTGCGGTGCGGTGCGGTGCGGTGCGGAGAAGAAGGGTGCACATAGTACGCCGGAAGTGCGGTTGTTCCAGATAACAAAAACCGTGCTAGAGAGAAGAATACTTTCCTTTTACCACGGTGAAAAATCGCGAGCTATGAATTTTTTTTTGTCGGCTATAGAAATACACCAACGGTGCTTTTATCTTTCCCGAAGAAAATAATGATGGCGATTTAAGTTTGATTTTCAAGTCGTCGTAGTGGTCGTGGTCAAATATTTACTTGAGTTTTGCGAAAATATTGATTTCAAATTCAACATACTAAAAATGTACGAATTTATTCTAATATAATACATACACACGTACATATATATATGTTATCTTAGAAAGGTTTGACTAGAGACGAAAATTCCCCGTACGACAAAAGGAAAACTAGCGGATATGACCTTTGTGTTCGATGTGCTTGACAATGCCAACGGCGATATTCGATATTCGATTATCGAGAAGTCTTTCGATTTTCGTGATCGTTGCTGCATAAGGATAACTCACCGGCGGGTATAATGTGATAGACGCAAGGCACTTGTTGATGCCCTATACGATTCGTAGCCCAACATAGCAACGTTCCGTAATCCAATTCCGTCATCGGTGTGTACGAAACGATCGAGGATGTGCCTGCTCTGGCGATATGGCCAGCGGCAACGTCGATACTCTCTGCAGAATTGTTGAACGTCCACCGGAACTGCACTTCTGTGGGATTTGCTTCCACTTGGCAGGATATGTTGGCCTTTTCTTGTTTAGCAACACCGTGAAATTTCGTTTGGTTCGGCTTACAAGTTGGCGCGACTTGAAAAAATAATTTTAATGGCTATTAAATTGTGTTTTTTTCTACGTATGTGTACGTGTAGGTTTATATATATATATATATATTTATGGTGATTTACTATTCCTACATTTATTCGCTAAATGCAAATTAACGCGAGAAAGTAACGCGAATAGATTTAACCAAAATTATGTCCAAACGTGTACCATTAATAATTTAATAATCAAAATTTATCGCAAAATTCCAATATCCTTGTCGACGCCGTCATATCCTTTAACGTGTACTGCTTTTATAGGAGGAGAACTTGATAATAATTCAAACCGAATAAGCGGACATGTTTGTTATAAATTTATAACGGATAGATAACGGGACTTATATATGGATATATAATATAATATATATATATATATATATATTGGTTGGATTATCAAAGCATGGGATTTCATTTTCATATTTATAATCGATTGAGAGTCAAAAGATTAATGACGATCGAGAGTTCGCTTTACGAAACAAATTCCCTTCGCAATCGCTTTTATTTAACAGTGATATAACGTTGTGTTACATTGCACTGGGGGAATGAACGTTTCGTTGAAATTATTTTCCACTGCTACTTCTTCCTTTTTTTTCGGTGTAAGGTAATAATAACAACGTACTATGAGTGTATAACGTAATTAGGTATTCGGTATAATATGCAACCAATGCTATATGCAACTATGACGCGCGAAACCGAGGACACACAAATTCGCGACACTTGTCTCTGAACTATCCTCGTATGTATTATCTCTACTCGTGTATCACGTAGGTCGTTTGTGAATGGTGTTTGTGCAAATATAATACTCACACATGACGTTCAAATAGAAAGGTGAGCTCTCGCCGTCACCCTCGACGTTGTAACCAACGCAAGTGTAATTACCAGCACTCTTACGGTCGACTCCTTGGAGTACCAAACTTTGGTTACTGATTATGATACCTTGCATGGCGTTGTGATAAAGTGGTTTTCCCTTTATAAATTAATACACGATTTTAATTAATATAGAAATTAGCAAAAATAACAATTCAAATAGTATTTCATTTATTCGTATTTTATTTATTTTCTCGTAAGTTGGTCATTTAAAAAAAAAAAAAACAACAAGTCACGTCTTATCTACGTTGAGGTAAAATTTATTAGAAAACTTGAATGCATCGTAAGTAGAATTGACTTGGCAATGCAGTAAGACGGTTAAAGATTTTCTTGCTTCTTCGAGAAAGTTGTTTGACTCGCTCGTACTCCGTTATAGTACTTAAAGAGGTAGAATCAATTTTGCAAAGCCTTTACTCGCGATTATATTAAAATTTCGTTCGAGAATACTAAGATATTTCTATAGTTTAAAATAAGGTAAAATGTATTTTTCGTTCCCTTTCTATTCGGTGCAAACTTTTGTATTTTTTACTAAAAGTGAACGTCAAAATAAAAGTATAATTTGATTACCTGATGACGCCATTCAACTTTAGTAACCGGTGGCTCGGCTTGTATCAAACAATCAAAGTAAACGTCCGTGCCTTCTCGAATCTTGCTAGGGTTCAATGATGTACCCAATTGTATTTTAGTTTCCGGTGTATCTGTAAATGCGATAGATCAATCTGATTCTCGAATAAAGTTGATCAAAAAATACGAGGAATAAATAATAGAACAAATGAAAAAAGAGGAAAGATAAAAGAGAAAATATTAGCGTGTGAATTCGTTTGCGTTTGTCAAGAACACGATGAACAACAATCCCTTTTCAACGTCCTGCAGGGAAGATAAAATAGGTCGTTAATACTCTTACATTGTATCTCTAGTATCCAGACGTCTTCTATCGGTGCTTTTCCTATGATCGAATTTTCAGCTCGGCATGACAAGTGTCTACCGGCATCTGCTTTGGTTGCCATAAAAGATAAGACGCTGGTGGTCGTGTTTCCATCGCTTGAAGTCTGTAACAACGTCAACCACAACTTTTATTCATCTTTATTCTTCTTCTTCTACTACTACTACTACTTTCTTTCTTTCTTTTTTTGTTCTATCTTCTCTTTCATATTTTATTTACATTTTATTATCTTATATTTGTTCTATATCCCCATCCTCCTATGTTATCATCCCCTCTTAACCTTTTTGTTAACATTCTTCCGTTATATGAATTATACATATATCAAAAGACTTATCTGTCAACGAAACGAGGGGGATAGGTAAAGGAAAAATGTTCGAACTCGAGTCAAAATCTTTTCGATCGATATGTACCTATTTTTTTTTCCTTTTCTTATTATCGACTAGAAAAAAAGAGAGAGAGAGAGAGAGAAAGAGAGAAAGATGGAGGAGAGGAAAGAGGAAGAAAAGACGCTGAATCTTTTTCAGCCAATTTCATTGTGGCGGAAGTGCATTTTTCCGCTCCGATCGTCGCGTCTCAGCCGAATCGATAGCAAGCTGCTCCCGATAACACGAAGAAGGACTACGTTGCTTCAAGACGTGGCAAGGACGCGAAAGGGATTACGTGTGATGGATGGAAGGAAGTCGTTTCAAAAGCGCTTATTTTTTTTCTTTTTTTCTTTTCTACCGCCGTATATATATATATATATATCCTCGACGAATTTTTGATCGACCTAAACTACTACTACTACTACTACTACTACTACTTCTACTATCACAATCACCACCTATGTGCTCATTTCTGCATCCTCTTATTTCGATCTTCCTTTTTCACATGACGTCGCGAGATCATCCCGGAAGGGAAGAGAGAACTTTCTTCTTTTTTTTCTCTTCCCTTCCGATCAACGAAAAGATGCATATTTTTCTTCTTTTTTTCTTTGTTTTCCCTACTTTCCAACCCCCTTATTCTTTGGTTAATCCGACAAGAAGATATAAATATTTGAGATGTCGTATGGGAGACACACAGAAAAAGAAAAATTTTCCTTCTCGAATCGGGAATTACTTAAAAGGAAATATTGTTTCAGACTTGATACACTTTGCGGGGTAACAGTTTGTTTTGTTACTTATATAAGAAACTTAAACAAAAGGGGGTAGATATATATATATGTATAGAGTAATGGACCGATCGATGGAGCGTGAGAAGTGGTGATGCGAAATGGTCGAGAGAGAAATACCTACCCTTGGCAAACTATAATCTATAGGAAAAAGATAGAGATAACTTAGGGAGGAAAGGATAAGGGATTCGTTTTATTTTCCTTCTACTTTTTACAACGTGTCTAAGTTAAATACCGAGTGTTTTCAATTCTTTTCTTTTTTTTTTTGTTATAATGCGCTACAATATCGAATAAAAAAGTTATAATCATCGACATATTAAAAAAAAAGAACGTGTGCAAATCACACAAGTTAGTGAATAATATTATTTTTATTTTTTTTTGTAATTATTTATTTAATAATTACAAAAAATGCGCGCTTGTATGAATGCAACCCTCCAGACACACTTTGAAAATGTTGCTTGCGAGCGCCATCTCCTGAGATGGTAATTTTTTTAAGTCCAAACTCTTCATACACACATGTATCACGGGTTGCCTATCTTTCGGGCAGAAAAAAATTCCGTCCAACAGATGTCGCTCGCAAGCAACATTTTCAAAGTGTGTCTGGAGGGTTGCATTCATACAGGCGTTATGTTTTTATAAATAAAAATAAAAATTTAACTTTAATCTTTTAATTAATATGCTTTGTACACAAATACACACGTATACAACGCTTAGTAGCCAGAAGTGGGGCCAAGTTTCCATTTAAAAAAAAAAATAAAGATATTATTATTATTATCATTAGAATTAATTCTCATGATATAAAATTTTATTTTGATAACGAATCCTGATTGCACTTGCAATCGCGACTAATCATACGTAAACATGGAGTAATTCGCGGTGGCGGCGTATCAATTAATTAAAAGCAACACCGGCAAGCCGACTGTCACGCATCAATTTAGCTTAATTACGTGCTCGCTAGAATGGTATGGTTGGTAGGTAGGTAGGGTATCCATCCATGGGGTTGGTGGCTCGTCCGTGCGCGCACACGAGCTACCTACCTACCTAGTAGTAGCTAATAGCGAGCAGCAGCTACTAGTTGTTGCAAAGTTAAAGGGAGAAGGAAGGACGTGAACGATGGGATGTAGAGCGCTGCGCCGTGCAGTTCGGTGCGGTGCTGTTCGGTGCGGTGCTGTTCGGTGCGGTGCGGTGCAGTGCGGTGCAGTACGGCGTTATCGCGTCAGTGGCTTACTTTGATTTAAATTACCTCGGGCTCTTAACGACGCTTTTACCGGCGGCTTAAGCCACGGCACGAGCTCATGATAACGATATCTCACACGCCATTTCGACGAATACACGCTAAGCTAATGCGCGCCCGCGTGTGTGCGCGCGCCCGCGTGTGTGCGCGCGCACGCGAGCTACCACCTTCGCTAGGTGGTATATATACTTAAACATAAGTTGTTGTTCCATTTGACGGTTCGTGTGTAACAGGCGTGTACTAGACGTGTACTCATGAGGTTGGTTGTTCCAAGGAAAAACCAACAAAGAAAAGGAAAAAACAAGGAGTCACAAAATTACAAATTATCTGGGAATCTTTTTTATCCTTGCCGATCCCGTAGAAAATCCGATTTCAAAAAACGTTTTCTTAACACAAAGCAACTCTCAAAAAACCTCTCTTTCTCTGACTATTGTCCTCCCCCTCCCCGATGTCAGTCATCTTATAACAAATTTCTTTTTCTCTTGTTTCTTTTTCTCCTCTTCCTTTCATTCCCATCTCCTTCCGTTCTAAGAGCTATTTCGTTGATTTGAAAGTTTTCGAGGTTGGATACTACGTATCGTAGTTGTATAAAATTCTATTCGTTCTCACACATACGGGGTTTCCATTTCCTTACCGTTTCCACGGAATCCACTAAACGTTGACCATTTCTCCACCAGGTCACAATCGCCGGTGGTCGCGAACCGGAAGTCCTGCAGACTAGCTCGTACCTTTTACCGGCCGATAGTGGCTGGTTGGCGTCCTTTATTTTTACTTCCAAAGGGCTGACTGAAACATTTTTCAATATATCATTTCTTTGAACAATATTTTCTTTTTTTTTTTTTAAGTAAAAAGTAAGAAAAACCCTTTCATTATTTTGATTTAAAATCTAACATAGCACACAGGGTGTATTTACATTTATACCTTTAATCGAGAACACGAGGTCGGACTTTATAAAAACCTTATCCTTTTTCGTTTCTTTTTTATTTTTCTTTTTCTTTTACAAACCCCCCTCAACCCCTCGCCTTTTGCTAGTCGAGATGTGGCTATAAATTTCTGTAATTGCGATGGAAAGATAAATTCTATCTTTCGCGTATACCGGAGGAACATGTAATTAAAACATTTTATATGATACCTTAACGTGATAAAATATTATATATTATATAAAAAAAAAAAAAAATAATATTGCGGTGTAAATACGATCGTTTATATTCCGTAATAAACGGGAATTGATGGAATATATGCTGTTTGATAAACGTCAATATTAAAACTTTTGATGCGTTAATGTATTTGTATTAAAAGGAAAAAAGTTGAATATAAAAATGACCAAATCAGAAGTACACGCGAAAATGTATAATTAATTACCAATCGTTAATGCGTATTAAATATTTATAATTGATTAATTTACGAATATTTTGTTTAACCGTAGTATTAATAAAAAAAAAAAAAAAACAAAAAAGAAAAAGAAATATCAAATACAAGTTAAAAGAATGAACGAATCAAGTCGTTATTTTACAGATGAAAATAATTATATAACAAATTATAAGTCAAGCAATTAACTTACGGGATATCTTGGTTTTGTCTCGTATTTTTCGAGAGAATCGTTCCCCGTAGGATAATCAATCCTTTCTCTCTTTCTCTCTCTCTTTCTCTCTCATATTCTCTTTCTCTTTATCTACCTTTTTTCTTTCTCATTGTTCTCTCTTTCTAACTTCTCTCTTCGCGATAGTACCATGTAACCGAGAGGACGTGGTGCTATACTGCGACAAATTGACGTTGATAAATTCTCTTTGTTATAAAGCTATACATCATTGGTGCTATTGCGTCGTAGCGAAGGCTGCGAACGAGAATCGAGTTATTCGGAATATTGTCCACCATCTTTGCTCGACTTCTCTTTGCCTGCCTTGCCTTGCCTTTGGAACGTTCACCTTTATCCTCTCTTTCTTTTTATGTATATATATATATACACACACGTAACTGTCCGTTTGCCTGTCCATCTTCCTTTTCCCTCGTAACAATTTTGAAATTCTTTGCACGATAAAAGAAAGAAATTTTTTCTCGAGTGGAATGGACGAGAAAGAACCGTTCGTTCAGTGGCATTTATATAGTTTAGCATGTTCTTTGTACATACATACATATATACATACATATGTAACTAAATGCAGATACAGATACGTATTCCTATGGTATATCCTTTCCTTTTTTACTCGCAAACATTCATACAAAATTAAGATCGAAGATGCATATAAGTGTATTCCTATTCGATGATGCCATTTTGACTTCCCTTTGAATGGCCTTTGACAGCACTTCGACGTCCCCTTTGACTGCCCTTTGACAGCCCTTTGATTGCTCTCTGACAGCTCTTTGATGGCTGGTTCGCGTGGTTCGTGCACGATCCGGTCGAAATCGGGATTTTTCAAAATTTCCTTCGAAAATATGGGAAACGTTTATATGAAAAAGAGAGAGAAAGAAAGATTCGCTTAGAATTTTCCTTTTAATGTTGAAAAGGAAGAAATATCTATTATGTAACGTCCGAAAGAGCTAGATTAAAAAAAAAAAAGAAATAAAAAAACGGTTTGGAAAGTTAACGTATAGAGATGTATGTAGATGTATTGGTTGATGAATAACGAATGATTCCAATGATTAATCTCAACGTTAGCATCAGATTTTTCAACGGCATTTTTTTTTTTTCGTTTTTTTTTTTTTCGAATAAAGCATTGGAAAGTTGTTGAACGTATAACGGAAAAAAAAAGAAATCTGTATCTCTCGTCAAAAAGCAAAACCACGATGTTACTCTCTATGAGAAAGATAACGAAACAAAATAAAGGGGCGAACCAGAAGAGAAATAGGAAAAACGAGATAGATAGAGAGAAATGTTTTAAAATAAACCTAGTATATATAATAATAATAATAATAATAATAATAATAATAATAATAATAATAATAATAATAATAATAATAATAATGTAGGTTGTAGGTATGTACATTTTAGAAGGAACGAGATTGAGTCTCATGGGTGTCGAACATTCTACGGTAGTTCCATTTGTGTAGCAGGCAACAGCAGTAGCAGCAGTCTCTAGGACGTGACACCTACGAGAATAAGAGATAAGTTCTTGGGGAAGAAGACAAGGGAAAATTGGATGGGAAGTGTCATTTTCGATGAAGGAAAAAGAAAGCGTGAAGCGTAACCGAAAGAAAAATAACCAAAGGAAATGATGAAAGGACCGGAAAAAAGAATACATATATATATATAGAAAAATGAAATAAGAAGTTAGAAAAAGATGTGAGATTGTAATGGAAGTTGGTGGGTGGATTAGGTTGTATGGTTGTCGTGTACAAGGAACGAACGAACGAAGGATGACGACGACGACGACGATGGGGATAGGAACGAGGAGGATTCTTCGTAGTAGGGATCGGCTTAGGAAATCTATGCATGGCTAATGGTTATCGATTTTCAAGTGTACGTCGCATCGGTGCTGCCGACAGAACGGCTCGACGATAAACAAGCGCGGTTCGCGTCGCGTATAACGAGGCCGTTCATTAATCCGCGATTCCGGCTAGCGTGGGATTTGTCACGCGTATTATACAAACAGCCGGTGTGGTACCCTACCCCGGTTCTAGAGTGTGGTTTGTATGTGAATGTGTGTGTGTTAGAGGTTGCTCTCACATCAGTACAGATTGGTTAAAGGCACGAGAAGAGTGTGTGTGTGGGGGGGGGAGGAGGGTAGAGAATATGCGGGAAACCTTGTTCCGAAGCACTTGTTCTACCTCGTACGTGCCTCTGCAGCGTGCTTAAAATTTAGGACAGCCTACACCACTGTATCGTGTAACAGCCCTGTAAAAGTGGTAAAAACCTTTTGTTCGAGATTAGGCCCTATTGCTTACCGAAGGTCTCTCTCTCTCTCTCTCTCTTTCTCTCTCTTTTTTGCTCTTTTTCCGCGAAAGCAAATTTTGCTGATATGCCAGACCTGATTTTTTTCTCGTTAGAGTGCTCGTAGAAACAAAAAATATAATATGTGAAAGGTTAGCTTACAAGTCATTAAGGGAAGGTTACACATAACGTTATTTTGCCTAAATTGCTTTCTACCTGACGGGGATGTTCGACGGGATAACGATCTTATGTTAGATATGGATAGAAATTTGTAAGGTTCAAGCATTTGCTCGTACTCGCAGAATACCAGCATAGGGATACATATTTTATGGCTGGAATTGGCCACAAATGTGCGAAAGATTATTTTGGATTCGGCGTTGGTACGGGTTGGTTGTGTTTAGATCGATACGGAACAGGAATGTTATCGTCCCTTGTGGAAACTCTCTGGCAGATAAGCAGGCGTGTACGGTTACGCGAGTAATTCTCTCCTACGCTGTTCGAATTACCGTGGAAACGTTGGATAATCTGTAACTACGAGTTAAATCGTGCTTTCACGCTTTATGAGAATCGCGTCCATCTTTCCCTTTACCTACCTACCCTACTCTACCCTACCTACCATCAACCTATATCTATCTTGCTCTATCCGTATAGATTCGTTTGTAATCTAATCGTTAAACCGTGTTAGAAGGACTTCTCAATGGTTTGTCGTCTAACGAGTAGGTCGAAACGTATGCTATTTCCAAACAATTGATTATCCTTACAAAGGAATTTCAAATACTCCAATATATTTCCTTCCCTAACATATACAAGTTAAGTACGCGTATTTAACTACCTTATCAAATAAAACTCGTTTCAATTTTGATTTGACGTTTATAGATAGATATATGTGTTATCTTTTTCATCTCTTTCCATCTCTCCCTCTCTTTCTATTCTTCATACACGTTCGACACCTTCTATCGAGAAATTAATCTCGTCGTCGAACCGAATCGGTCCTATACACCGTAACGTACCGTACTCGCAGCATAGTGCATTCATTTTCATTGATTTATCGACGCTTTTGTTGACTCTAAATTAGGATGAGTGCCTTCGGTATTTGGTACGGATAGAACCAAGTGGAATTAGCGGATAGAATTTCACCGCGACATTTGTAATTCGGTAACTATCCTCGCGACTCATCGAGTCACTCGCTTTGTTTCGTTCGAACGTTCGTTTAATACGCAATTATCTTGACTGTTTCATTCCGTATCGTATTTAATGATTTGATAAAAAGGGCACAACTATGGTAGTAGTAGTGGTAGTAGTAGTAATGTAATCGTTTGAATCAAATTCAAAAGGGAATAATTGTTCCCTATAGGATAATGTAAGTAAATTCGAAAATAATTGTTTATGATATATATTATGTATTTATATATACATATGAGTTTGGAATGGACTGTATCGTTTATAAGACCACTAAGTATACTTTTGAAACGATAGAGGAAGCTTCGTCCTCGTCGATATTATCATAGTGCAGTGTGGTGTTGTACGCTGCGTGATCCCGTGAGGTCCATTTAGTCTCGTTTCAATGTTCCATAGAGTGTGTGTGTGGGTAGAGGTGTACTCTACCTAGAAATATACTCTTTTTCTTCTTCTTCTATGTATATACCTAGATAGATACTAGCATATGGTATACGTTTGCTTCGCTCGAGTGCACGACTCTACGTGAAAAGGTTTCTCTATGGAAAAAAAGGGGTTTCCATCCTTTTTTACTTCTTTTTCTAACTCTACGTCGATCCTCTTCGAAATCTTCTTTTTATCTGTCCCGTCTTCTTCTTCTTCTTCTTCTTGGTAGTCATCTTCTTGGTAGTCATCTTCTTGGTAGATGCGTTCGCATAGTCATCTTCTTCATAGTAGTCGTCCTTACCGCCTAAGGCTAAGC